TGGTTTAAGCTCGACCTCGTGTCGAATACCTTTATCCTTTGGTAATTCGCACGGAACAGTTTCAGGGAATACATCCTTGAATTCAACCAAATCTTCATAGAGAGGATTTGTCTTGAGCGATTCCCACGATTGGGAGTCATATCGCTCAATTCGTGTCTTTTCATCTAGGACACTCTCGTCCATAGATGAACTACTGAGAACTCTCTCGTTCTCAGTGAACACTGTTGCTGACCTTATGTCGGTTACACACTCGTCGTCAGCGACGAGTACGCAGATCTGCTTGACTTTGCCACTACGCAGATCACGCAAGAACCTTTTATGTTCGAGCGTTGGCAACTGAGTGATCTCCGAAGTTAACTTCGGAGGCGCAATCAGATCAAGTGTAAAAGCGCCTACACTTGATCCGTTATTGACTATGACATTCAATGTCTCTGTCATTTCCTAGGGACTTATTCCCTCAGGCTTCGAAGGACTTATTCCTTCGGCTTCCCGGGGACTTATTCCCGCGGGTTTCGGGGACTTATTTCCACCGTATTTGTAATATTGGGACTTATTCCCTTTACTTCCTCTAGCTGGGGTTGCGCAACCACAGCGAGATCCTCTACGAAAGACCCTCCAGTCGATCTAGGATTATCGTTTCGCTTAACCTGAGCGATCGATTGTTTATCTTCTAGATGTTCCCCGCTAGGGATACATCTTTGTCCCGGTCCACTCGACTTATTCGAGTGGTGGACCTTCGGCGCAGCCTGTGTTTCCTCACAGCCGCCGGAACTTTGCTCCGAAGTGTAACCGTTTGGTACAATAAGGTTTTGTGCAGTCGTACTAACGACCGTACCACAAGTGAGGCCATCGCACTCACTCGTAGTACATCCACACGCTTGTGGACGCTCCAAAACGTTCATCAGATGGCCATCTGATGAACAAGCGGCAGGCATCGTTACTGTCCGATGTTGCCAGTTTACCCGTGGTTCGTACCTTCTGAGCCACGGTATTCCAAGGATGACATTAAATTTGTCATCCAAATCCAATACGATAAAGTCGTAATCATATTGGGTATCTTCTAGCGTATAGTGGATCTTCACTATACGCTTCATGACGGTTACGGATGCGCCTGTCGCAAGACGTACCGTCATCCTCGTAGGAGGTGTGTCACATTCACTGAATTTAAAGTGACCATCTTCTAGCGATTGGCGTCGCACAAAATTGTTGGACGCCCCACAATCGACTAGAGCTCGAAGGGACAACTTATTCGTCACTTCGAGTTTCAAGGTAATGAGTGAGACCTCATTACCTAGAGCAGCAACGCACAACGTTTGTGTGCTGGGAGCAACCTTCATCAAGAGGCCCACAAATTATCTTGACGTTGCTAGACCAGTAGGGTGCTCCGCACCTACTGATCCTGTCCGTTTTTTGACGGTCCATCCCGTTGTTGCGTCTTTGCACCAACTGCGGACCCTCGTCCCTGCCCCTTTCTCATGGGTGGACGGTCACTACGCCCAGTGTTGCGAGACACTGGACGAGGGGCACTACACTCGTAAGCGCAGTGTCCTGTCTTTTGACATCTGTTGCATCTCTGCAACTTCTTGTAGCCTGTAGAGCGAGCCTTCTCGCTCTCTACATAACAGAGTTCCATCGGCTCTGGACCTCCGTTGTCATATCGTCTCGGTTGAAGATATGATGTCGAGCTGGCGCGAGCCTGTCTCAGACTGAAGTCTTCCTGCTCCGCAATGGAAATGGCTTGTTCTAGTAAATCTAGTTCAAGCCGGAACAGGTGAGTCTTGACGGGACCATCCGCAAGACCCTGCATGAACACCGAAACCAACGTGTGTTCATCCACCGGATTGGAACTTATACAACTCGTGAGATGTCGTACATGTTGAGCGTAAGCGTGCACATCACGCTTACCCTGCTTGAGCTTCAAGAGTTCGGTTCGAGCTCTGAACTCAGCTCTAGGCGGTTCAAACGTTTGTCTGAGCCGCGACTTGAAGTCTTCCAACGACCCAAACGCATGTGGGTCGTGCAACTTGAGCCCCAGTGCCCAAGTCTTGGCACGTCCTGCCAGATTTGACTGGGCAAATGCAACTTGCATATCCCCGTCGTCGATGCGACGCGCCCTTATGGCGTCATCCACTTCGACGAACCATCTCAAGAGGGAGTCTTCTTCGACCCCCCTATACTTGGAGATGTCAATCTTCAAGGTTTCGGGTCGACGCGAGTGCATAGACCCACCAGCAGCAGCCTGCTGCTGTCTCAACAGTTCAAACTGTTGAGCACCTTGTTCTCTCAACAACTCTGCTTGTTGAGAACCTTGTTGGTGAAGCAAGGATACTTTCTCGCGTCCTGCGTCAAGTTCATTTTGAATGAACTTGGCGATAGTAGCATGTTGGGCATCTCTATTGAGAGCCTCTAGCATGACGCTAACAGCATGGATGCCCATGGTCGAACCCATTCGTTCAACCGCATCCCATTCGACATCGCTCAAATGGGAGTAGCCGTCACGCGTAGAGTGAAAGCTTTGGTCATCTTCATCATCCAACATATTCATGTTGGATGTGAACGCGGTCCTTGGACGGACTACGAAGTGCTACCAGGTGTAACGGGGCACCCTGAAGCTTGTACTGGTGACAGTACAAGCTACTTATTCTGATGACAGAATAAGGCGGTGCCTCGTAACTTCACGTACACTCGTACGTGCAGAGGAAGACGGTAAGAAGAAGCGAGTACTTGGTTAGAGTAAAAAGTAGAACTGTATTTATAATAGTTAATGTCTGCAATAAATCACTATTTATCTTCATCTAACTATGTCTAAATACAAATGTGTAAATCAACTATCTGCTCACCACTCATTGCGTGCGTCTGTCGTGGCGCGCCTTCGTTGGTTGATATAATGCCCTTAATCAACCAATTAGGAACTATCCGTAAGTGCTACAGAATATTTGTCCTCATGACAATATTCCGAGAATATAACTCTTATAGTTATATTCTATTAGCAATTTCTTATAAATTGTTATGTAACGATTCACCCCGTTACATCAGGTCTAGCACATGGGCGTACTATCTTTTGCGATAGCTGATTGCTACACGGGTGTAACGGGGCACCCTGAAGCTTGTACTGGTGACAGTACAAGCTACTTATTCTGATGACAGAATAAGGCGGTGCCTCGTAACTTCACGTACACTCGTACGTGCAGAGGAAGACGGTAAGAAGAAGCGAGTACTTGGTTAGAGTAAAAGTAGAACTGTATTTATAATAGTTAATGTCTGCAATAAATCACTATTTATCTTCATCTAACTATGTCTAAATACAAATGTGTAAATCAGTTATCTGCTCACCACTCATTGCGTGCGTCTGTCGTGGCGCGTCTTCGTTGGTTGATATAATGGCCTATATCAACCAATTAGGAACTACTTGGAAGTGCTACAGAATATTTGTCCTTATGACAATATTCTGAGAATATAACTCTTATAGTTATATTCTATTAACAATTTCTTATAAATTGTTATGTAACGATTCACCCCGTTACATCACCCCCCTTAACCATCAGTCACTTTAGTGACTGATTGACTAAATGGATACTCGTCCCAAATCATTTGGGACGGGGTTTGCACTTGTTGGTCCGCGTCCACTTTCCAACATCTCATCGCATGGTAAACAAGCCCATGCGATGCGCGAGCAAGGCCGCCGAGAGCGCGTCTGCACGTCTCTGTGCGGACGCCGAAGCAGAAACAACAGCAACTGATGTCCCATCGGTTGCTGAATCGACTCAGCCTGTATCACCTGGTGATGCAGGCGCTGGTCATGAAGACACTCGTGTCTTCACAGAGTACGAGCTCGGTGTCTCGTACTCTCCTGATACGGATGACGGATCCGTATCGACGGCAATTGAATCCAAGCCGCCTGCCAAGCGTGGCATGGACGATGCTTTGCGTCGCAGCATCTTTGGTTCATCTGATGAGTCAGATGAACCATCGCCGAAGCGAAGGCGCTCGAGGTCGCGAGACTCGGGCGCTAATAGTGGTGTCGTTTCTCCAATGGACACCACTTCACAGCGAGGTGCCAGTACTTCTGTCGGCACGTCGCAGGAAGAGCGGGACCGCAATGTGTTGCGTCTCGCTCCAGAAAAGAAGGCATGGATGCCTCCTAAATCTGTCATGGATCACTTGTCGGCGACGACGAGTGATCGTTATCGAACACGATTGTTCGATTCGTCAAGGATTCATCACCTTGACCCCAGCGCGAAAGACTATCGCGCTGAACATGAGTTCTTCATCGATGCTTTCTTCAGACATCGATGGTACAGTGGGAATCACATACGTGATGGTCCCTCACTACTTCAGGCGTGGAACGCCTACATCCATAATCTCGAGGATGTAGGTCGTGACGCTTGGAACGACAAACTTATCAAAGCTCGTGATAAGTTTGAAAAGCGAACCCCGACAGGTGCACGCTACAAGCTGCATCGTCTGTCAAGGGAGAAAGGATTACCCTGCCTCTCTTGGGGAGACTCGTGCCCATGTTGTGTGAACAGCTCTGCACGAGCACCTAAGGAGGCTTACCTCCTTACCAGCCCGTGGTGGCGCGTACGTGTCTCTACTGAGATGTACGAAGGGATTGACAACCTGAAATCCCTTTACGACCGTGCCGGGAAGACTTTCTCCGGCGGTCCTTCTGCGGCACAGGATGTGTCGCGTCGTACTGCTCAACCAGACCCAGTACGTCGATCATCAGTTGGGAGCGGGGCTCCCAAGAATCCCAGGACGGGGGATAGCCGCGCCACCGGACGAGGTAACTCGTCCGACGTCCGTTCACGTCGCGGTGGTTCAACAGCTGCTCTACTAGATAGCGCTGGCCACCGCGAGAGTCCTCTAATGGGGGTGGAGGAGGAGGAAAGACGCTCTCCACACGATCATGTGGATCGGTGTGTTCCCGAGAGCTTTTTGATCGCGTAACGCAAGGGTTACGCGACGATCTCGAGCATGAGCGGAATAGGCGTCTCCAGATGGTGGACACTGCCTCGAAGCATCGAGCTGAGTTTGCCTTTGCTCAGCTTGAGAACGAGAGATCTCTGACATCTCTTCGTGACGAGCTAAGGGTAGCTCGTGGGATTGCTGATCGGTCTCGGGCTGAGATAACTGCTCTTCAGACCCTTGTTGATGCCCACCATCGGGAGCACAAGGCTCTCTGCGAGATGCTTGAGCGCAAGGGCGTTCTTCATCGGAAGAAGCAGCGTACTGATGGTACGGCTTAAGCCGACCAACGTAAAACGTGGGATGCGTTCGCATCTTACGTGGTAACTCGATCGTGTATGCATTGCCTAGGCGGTGCAATACACGAAATGGGCCAATGTACTTGGGTAGTAGTTTACTGCTACCCAAGTTAGTCACTACATGTTTTGGTAGATTAACCGTAGACAGTAGGACTAAGTCACCTTTATTAAATAAAAGAGTGTTTGCCCTTCCATTCTTGTCAGCGTTTTGCTTTTTGCTTATCCACCGCTTCGGCGATGGAGTCTTGCACAAAACGGACTACCGTTTCACGAGCCAGTATGAACTCATCTGATGACTCGTTAGCTTCAGTGTGCTGTGAGCGCACTGCAGCGACAACAACCTTTTCTTCAGTGAGGGCTTCCGCACTCTCACTGGGATCATTGTCTTCAGTGAGGGCTTCCGCACTCTCACTGGCATCATCTTCTTCGATATTGATGTTATCGATATCGGCATCAAACGCAATGACTTCTTCGTCAGAGCGTGATGAGCGTGAACCAAATCGGTTTTTGCTCGCGCGAGTCCCTCCCCCCCTTAAACCAGAGTTACACTCTAGTAAGGTGGGTACACGCGGATGGCGCAAGCCATTCACGTAAAACGGTGTATGTGTCGTGGACGCATGCACCGAGTTGTTGATGGCAAACTCCTCCCCCCAAAAACTCTCTCTCCTTTTTATAGGAGTGTACGTATCCTCGAAGTATCTCTTCAAGGACACGATTGGCACGTTCCGTCTGACCATCTGACTCTGGATGATCAGATGTTGACATCTTCAAGCGCGTTCCGTCTGACCATCTGACTCTGGATGATCAGATGTTGACATCTTCAAGCGCGTTCCGAGTGATTTGAACACGGAACGCCAGAAATCAGCAGTGAATCGTGGATCTCTGTCTGATACGAGTTCACGGGGCAACCCATGAAGTCGGAAGATGGTGTCAATAAAGACACAAGCACAGCCACTTGCCGTGATTGTCTCTGGTACAGCCACAAGGTGTACCATTTTGCTGAATCTGTCAACAAATACGAGAATACCCGTATTCCCGCGTGCGTCTTTGGGTAACCCGAAGACGAAATCCATTGAGATGGATTCCCAGCACTCAGCCGGAACCGGTAGAGGCTGTAAAGGTGCACGCAGTGAAGGACTTGACTTCACTCGTTGGCAGACTTCGCATGCGCGAACATACTTTCGCACAAACTGATACTGGCGGGGCCAGTAAAAGTCTCGACTTACCGTGAGATATGTTTTCTCTCGGCCACGATGTCCTCCTATAGGAGCATCGTGATACTCGAACATGATCCGCAAACGCAGATCAGTATCATCTGGAATGACAACACGTGGTGTGTCACCAGAAACGGCTGTATAGTACAGTAAACCGTTACGAGTAGTGTATCGATCTGATGCAGATCGATACGCAGAACGACAATCGTTTCAACGATTCTCGAGATGGTTGGGAGAGATGTGACAACAACTTCACTATCTCACCATCTTGGGCGTATGCCCGCCTCACATCATCATACAACGTTGTAGATGGGACTGAGGACGTCATAACCGCAACAGTGACTGTCTCACTGTTGGGTTTCGCGACTGTTTCAAAGTCGGGACGACGTGAGAGTGCATCAGCGACGACATTAAGTCGTCCTGGTTTGTACTCGACCGTAAAGTTGTATTCTGCAAAGAATGACAACCACCGCGCCATTCGTTGTGAAAGGTGCGGGCTGTTCACTGCCGTGCGTAAGGGCGCATGGTCAGTGTAAACAACGAAGGGTCTATCTCCTAATAGATAGAATCTGAACTTCGCGAGTGCATACTTCATGGCAAGGAGTTCCTTGTCATGCACCGGATAGTTCCGCTCAGCTGGTTGCAGCTGACGCGACTGATAGCAGACGACGCGTTCAACGCCTTCAAGGTCGTACTGCATTAATGCACAGCCGATTGCGAAATCGCTGGCATCACAGACCACATGAAATGGCCTGTCCTGATCGGCTATTGCTAGGACTGGGGATTGTATCAAGCTCTACTTGATACCCTCAAAGGAGCGTTGACATTCAGCGTTCCATAACCACCTCTCGTTCTTTTTCAACAAACGAGAGAGGTGTACAGTCATCTCGGCGTAATTGCGTGAATACTTATGCAAATACGCCGCTAGCTCAAGGAATTTTCGAAGACCTTTGACATCGACCGGCACAGGCCAGTCGGTGATCGCCTTGATCTTTTCGGGATCAGGACGTACACCGTTCTTACCAACGATGCACCCAAGAAGTGGTATTTCGCTTGCTGCAAATATACACTTTTTGAGGTTTGCATACAATTGATGCTTTCGCATGATTGTAAGAACTTGTCGGACGTGGTACTTGTGAACCTCAACGTCCGACTTTCCATCCATAGCTCGACTATGGATGAATACGTCATCGAAATAACTCGGCGCGAATTCTCGTACTGGCCTCAACAGATGTGATACACACCTGTTGAACGTGGCAGGGGCATTACTGAGCCCTTGTGGCATTACTAGCCATTCCCAGAGCATGCCGCTAGGCGTGCTAACTGCGGTATAGGGTATATCCCGTTCCCGCATTAGGATTTGATAGAAGCCATCCATCAAATCCATGGACGAAAAGATGGTACTCTTTGACATACCATCAATGATTACGTCCTTCCTCGGTATCGGCGTCTGAGCCGGTACCGTTGCAGCGTTCAATTTGTTAAACGCGTGCACTATCCGCCACCCTCCTGTTGCTTTTCGCACACAGAAGGTCGGAGAGCTATGTGGGGAAGTTGATTCCCTCACATGGCCCGCTGCTAAACGATCGGCAAAGAACTTGTCGATCGCAAGTACTTGTTCACGAGGCAGTGGCCACTGCTTCATGACACAGTACTTCGAGCCTGGTTTAAGCTCGACTTCGTGTCGAATACCTTTATCCTTCGGTAATTCGCACGGAACAGTTTCAGGGAATACATCCTTGAATTCAACCAAATCTTCATAGAGAGGATTTTCCTTGAGCGATTCCCATGATTGGGACTCATATCGCTCAATTCGTGTCTTTTTCATCTAGGACACTCTCGTCCATAGATGAACTACTGAGAACTCTCTCGTTCTCAGTAAACACTGTTGCTGACCTTATGTCGGTTACATACTCGTCTTCAGCGACGAGTATGCAGATCTGCTTGACTTTGCCACTACGCAGATCACGCAAGAATCTTTTTATGTTCGAGCGTTGGCAACTGAGTGATCTCCGAAGTTAACTTCGGAGGCGCAATCAGATCAAGTGTATAAGCGCCTACACATGATCCGTTATTGACTATGACATTCAATGTCTCTGTCATTTCCTGGGGACTTATTCCCTCAGGCTTCGAAGGACTTATTCCTTCGTCTTCCCGGGGACTTATTCCCGCGGGTTTCGGGGAACTTATTTCCGCCGTATTTGTAATCTTGGGACTTATTCCCTTTACTTCCTCTAGCTGGGGTTGCGCAACCACAGCGAGATCCTCTACGAAAGACTCTCCAGTCGATCTAGGATTATCGTTTCGCTTAACCTGAGCGATCGATTGTTTCTCTTCTAGATGTTCCCCTCTAGGGATACATCTTTGTCCCAGTCCACCCGACTTATTCGAGTGGTGGACCTTCGGCGCAGCCTGTGTTTCCTCACAGCCGCCGGAACTTTGCTCCGAAGTGTAACCGTTTGGTACACTAAGGTTTTGTGCAGTCGTACTAACGACCGTACCACAAGTGAGGCCATCGCACTCACTCGTAGTACATCCACACGCTTGCGGACTCTCCAAAACGTTCATCAGATGGCCATCTCATGAACAAGCGGCAGGCATCGTTACTGTCCGATGTTGCCAGTTTACCCGTGGTTCGTACCTTCTGAGCCACGGTATTCCAAGGATGACATCAAATTTGTCATCCAAATCCAATACGATAAAGTCATCGTCGTATTGGGTATCTTCTAGCATATAGTGGATCTTCACTATACGCTTCATGACGGTTACGGATGCGCCTGTCGCAAGACGTACCGTCATCCTCGTAGGAGGTGTGTCACATTCACTGAATTTAAAGTGACCATCTTCTAGCGATTGGCGTCGCACAAAATTGTTGGACGCCCCACAATCGACTAGAGCTCGAAGGGACAACTTATTCGTCACTTCGAGTTTCAAGGTAATGAGTGAGATCTCATTACCTAGAGCAGCAACGCACAATGTCTGTGTGTTGGGAGCAACCTTCATCAAGAGGCCTACAAATTCTCTTGACGTTGCTGGACCAGTAGGGTTCTCCGCACCTACTGATCCTGTCCGTTTTTTTGACGGTCCATCCCGTTGTTGCGTCTTTGCACCAACTGCGGACCCTCGTCCCTGCCCCTTTCTCATGGGTGGACGGTCACTACGCCCAGTGTCGCGAGACACTGGACGAGGGGCACTACACTCGTAAGCGTAGTGTCCTGTCTTTTGACATCTGTTGCATCTCTGCAACTTCTTGTAGCCTGTAGAGCGAGCCTTCTCGCTCTCTACATAACAGAGTTCCATCGGCTCTGGACCTCCGTTGTCATATCGTCTCGGTTGACGATATGATGTCGAGCTGGCGCGAGCCTGTCTCAGACTGAAGTCTTCCTGCTCCGCAATTGAAATGGCTTGTTCTAGTGAATCTAGTTCAAGCCGGAACAGGTGAGTCTTGACGGGACCATCCGCAAGACCCTGCATGAACACCGAAACCAACGTGTGTTCATCCACCGGATTGGAACTTATACAACTCGTGAGATGTCGTATATGTTGAGCGTAAGCGTGCACATCACGCTTACCCTGCTTGAGCTTCAAGAGTTCGGTTCGAGCTCTGAACTCAGCTCTAGGCGGTTCAAACGTTTGTCTGAGCCGCGACTTGAAGACTTCCAACGACCCAAACGCGTATGGGTCGTGCAGCTTGAGCCCCAGTGCCCAAGTCTTGGCACGTCCTGCCAGATTTGACTGGGCAAATGCAACTTGCATATCCCCGTCGTCGATGCGACGCGCCCTTATGGCGTCATCCAATTCGACGAACCATCTCAAGAGGGAGTCTTCTTCGACCCCCCTATACTTTGAGATGTCAATCTTCAAAGTCTCGGGCCGACGCGAGTGCATCGACCCGCCAGCAGCAGCCTGCTGCTGTCTCAACAGTTCAAACTGTTGAGCACCTTGTTCTCTCAACAACTCTGCTTGTTGAGAACCTTGTTGGTGAAGCAAGGCTACTTTCTCGCGTTCTGCGTCAAGTTCATTTTGAATGAACTTGGCGATAGTAGCATGTTGGGCATCTCTATTGAGAGCCTCTAGCATGACGCTAACAGCATGGATGCCCATGGTCGAACCCATTCGTTCAACCGCATCCCATTCGACATCGCTCAAATGGGAGTAGCCGTCACGCGTAGCGTGAAAGCTTTGGTCATCTTCATCATCCAACATATTCATGTTGGATGTGAACGCGGTCCTTGGACGGACTACGAAGTGCTACCAGGTGTAACGGGGCACCCTGAAGCTTGTACTGGTGACAGTACAAGCTACTTATTCTGATAACAGAATAAGGCGGTGCCTCGTAACTTCACGTACACTCGTACGTGCAGAGGAAGACGGTAAGAAGAAGCGAGTACTTGGTTAGAGTAAAAAGTAGAACTGTATTTATAATAGTTAATGTCTGCAATAAATCACTATTTATCTTCATCTAACTATGTCTAAATACAAATGTGTAAATCAGTTATCTGCTCACCACTCATTGCGTGCGT